GGGTGGTCTTGGGCGGCTTTTGTCGGGCTGTCTGCTGCTGTTCCCACCCGTGTAAAGGCAGTGCGTGAGATGCTGCATTTTTCCTTCCCTGCTGCTACTTGTTGGTAGAGATAAATTTGTATTTTCATGCGAAAAGCAGAATTAATTGCAATAAGCAGTATATGTGTTAGCTTTGGTAATTATGAGGGCGTGCCTTATACACTCAGAATAAGTCTGGAGTTGCCCAGAGGGCAAAAAATTTATTTTTGTCACTTCTAGTAAGGAGTAAGCTCTCACATTACGCAAGTAAAGTTATGCTTCAGCTTTATGTGGCCTGTCAATGTGGTAGTCGGGGACTACTTTGCTTTCCATTGTCTCCCCTAGTTGGCTAATGCTCAGAACGAAACGTGGAGCGCAGCTATAACATCTGATTTCTGTATTATTTTTTTCTTCCTAGATATTGGTATTAACCTAACAGATCCTATGTTCAGAGGAATTTACAGAGGAACACAGAAACATCAAGGTAAATGTTTCTTTGTAGCTGCTGAAAGACACCATCCCTCTTGTTAAAAGGGAAGCCTCTTACTTGTCAGAAAGTGAGGTTAGAATTTTTTTTTCTCCTCAGAAACTGGAAGCTTATTATTTACTATGGCTTTGAAGAAGAAAGTGTGACAAAACAAGTTAGATGTTCTAAGCAAAATATGTTCTCTTCTACTGAATTACTGTTAAGTTGTCATACAGGTAACTGCTTCTAGAGCAAAATGGAAAATTGCTGATCTATTATGTTAGGATTGCATGGAAGAAACTGATCTGAGTTATGAACAATAAACTATCAAAGTATTGCATTGCTGAATCATAGTTACTAATTATAACTGATGCTTTTTTGCTCTCATGGCCTTTAGATATATATGTAAAAACAGAGTCTACTAAAGTATGTGAAAAACTTCCGTTGACTTCTTGGATTCAAATTGGACCTTCAGTTACTGCATTTTTTATTGTCTTCTAAAGATTAATCAAGTGTGGCTTAAAGATTGTTTGTGATAGGCATTTTGACTGCATGAAAGTAATTTTTAGTTGAAAAGAGTTAAATTATGCTGTAAAACCTTAAGTTCAATTTATGATATTTTTATGAACTTTCACAGATGACTTTTTGGATGTGGTAGAGAGAGCAGTCAAAGTTGGTGTTAAAAAGGTAATTTCTTATCATAAGGTTTCTTTTACTGTTTTAAACTACTTCCTAATACTTGGGGTTTTTTAGTGCTTCGCTATTAAATGTTTCTGGAACTGGCAATGGCAAATGCAGTAGCATTCTTCAGTAGCATAAAGCAGAAGCATTCTGCACAGAGCATTGTCTTCCATTTGCACGGATCATTAGATGGTGAATGTTTAAGTTCAGTGGTAGCATATGTGATATGCACGTAGAATTTCTTTAGTATGGTTTCAACAGGAAGATCATCTCTGATCTACTGCAGTCAACTAGTATGTAGTTTTCCATGTTAGTTGCAGTATAGGCAGCCACTCCTGTCTTCTTGTATCCTGAGTGACTCATTCAGCAGTTACCATTACAGATCAAAACTTGAAAGCCCTTCTAATAGCGATCCTTCAGATGTTCCTGTATGTAAAGAAATTGGTAATTGCAGAAGGGCTGGGAGTGCCCATAAAATTCTTACAGCTGAGGCATATGAATGTCTGCTAGTAAATACTGGCTTACATGTATTAAAACAGCATCATTGTGAACAAGTTTGTAACTCTCAGCTTGAAATCAGTGTTTTCGACAGTGGACCACACTCTTTTATTTATAATAGTCCAAACTGCCTATCTCTCTCTCTCTCTAAACGGAATGAATTGTCAAGAAAAAAACAGGAATTATAATAAAATACAATTCACACTGCCACAAACTGTTGTACTGCACTAATAAGGCTGGTGGATTAGAAATAAAGAAATAAACCCCCCTCTAGAAGAGGTACAGACATCTTGGAAGTTTGCTGAAAGGCTGTCATCTGAAAAGGGTGGGAAATAAACTGGGAGACAAAAAAAGAAAACTCTAGTGATGGAGAAGTTACCACACTGCAGCAAACACAGAATTATAGTCACTTTAATGCATTTATATGTGCTATATAAGTACTATTTAATCTTTATACCACCCTCTGAAACTAAGTGGCAATTTCCGTATTTTATCATCAAAAATAAATTAGCTGTATAACTTTTTCAAGATGCACAGGGGATTCAGAAATGGAATTCAGGCGTTCTGTGTCCTTAGCTATGTTTTCACTCTTGCCACTGGCCTGTACAGCATCAGAAGTCTATTCCATCCCAGATTGTTTCTACTCGCCTAGAAGCTTAATCTGTTTATTTGAAAATATTTCTGTTTCTCCGTATAGCTGCTGATTTATGGTAGGGTTTTTTTTAAGTTTTGCCCTGTGCTGTGGGTACACTGAGCCAATTTCAGCTTAACTTATTTTTCTGGTGATACTGTTGGGATGTGTCTGTCTCTAATGGAGCATACTGCAGAAATATCTGACGCGGTGCTGACTGAGTCTGGTGTAGCGTGTGTAGGGATAAGAGTTGTCCAAAAGCAGTGTAGTCAGGATTTATTAGGACCTAGGGTGCGAGATCCTGCAAGTGGTGGTTCTGAAAACACTGTAAGCAACAATTCTGGTTTGATGACCTTTGATCTTAAGGTAAAAGACTGGAGTCAGAAATTCTTAGATTTGTAATCCTGACTCTGATATCAACTCCTTTGTTGGTTTATCTACTTACTTACTCATGTCTTGTTTGCGGTGTTAACGAGCTTTTACTTTCTCCACCTGTAAGACAGGGAGAATGTTTCTGAGTATCATTTCTTGAATGGAAATAAAGTTTCTTGAGTCATTGTCTAATGAAGTTAATATTGCTGCAAATGGAAGTATTTTACTCATTTTATGATTTAAATACTTTGTGTAGAAGATACTTGATAAAGAAAAAATCCAGGTTTTGGTACCTAGTGTATTTACCAGCTCCTGCGGTTTGTTACTGATCTGTGAAACTTTGTCGTATATACATTAGTAATTGTCTTCTGATCTTCTCTGTCTAGATTCTGACTTGTATCTGAGTGTTTTCTTAAACATTCAGTTTGATGTTCAAAGAAGAACATACTCTCTGACAGTACTTTTCTTCTTCAAGTTTTTGATTACAGGTGGGAGTCTACAAGATAGTAGAGATGCGTTGCAGCTGGCACAGACAAATGGTATTTTCACTTTAAATTTACGTTGTCAGTCAAAGATATAGCCTTCTTCACTCTCAGAATTAGGAGTTCAAAAGGACCTCCCCCTGGAGGTGTTTACAGAATCTCAGATCAGAATGAGAAATTATGTTTCAGAATGGGATGAATACATTGTATATGAGTTTCTGTATGTTGCTTTTTAGATCCCTGGGTGTTGGAAGAAATCAGTCTTTCCTGTAATTTCTGTTTCTACACAAAAATAGAAATTACAGGAAATTTCTGGAATAAAAATTCTGTTACAAGGCTCTCTTCTAGAAAGAAGATAGAATGCTTATATGGTGTGGAGTATGTGGGGGTTTGGTGGGTTTTTGTTTTTTACTTAGCAATCTGTCATGACCAGCTTGAACAAAAGAGTTATCTTTCTCTTTAGGGTTCTCCTAGCTTTCATTTTCTTTCTGTGAAAAGGCAGATACCGTTCCACTAATTACTTCAGTATGTATTTGAAGTAAAATACATGTTAAAGTACTATTTACAGAACAGAACTATAGAATAATTTAGGTTGGAATGAACCTGAGGAGGTAATCTGGTCCAACCCAATCTACCTCCCCGCTTCCATCAAAGCAGGACTAGCTTTAATATTATGTCAAGTTGCTCGGGGCCTCGTATAGTCTTTCCCCCTGCCCCCCTCATGCTTTACATTCTCCATAGAGGCATTTAGCAGAAATGTTAATTTTGGCACTAAGGGGATCTAGATTAGATACTTGGGTAAGTCAGGCTAGATGTTGCTTGCAAAATTCTGTAACAGCTGATGCAGAGGCACACGAGGGAAATCTCATGCTGTCTGCAAATCTTACAGCTGAGGATAACCTGATCCATTTGAAACGAGTTGTATTTCTAGATGATCTCAAGAGGTCTGTCCCAGCCTCAACAACTGTATGATGTGTTGAGGACTGCTCCACCAGAATAATTCAGTTTTGAGTTGCAGTTTTTGGAGTATACTAAATAATATGTACTATAACACACACAAACACACACACACACCCCCCATTAGAGATACTGTCTAACACTTTTAAAGCAGAAAATATCAGTGTAGTAAAATCACCACCAAGATAAAGATGTTCAAGTTTTCTTTTAAAATTATGAGCAATAAAAAAAGCCCAGATACTGTCTATACCTTATATATATTTTTTTTTTCTATTTTTTCTTAAAATCTTCTAATGCTATCTTGCTTTAGACATGTTTTACAGTACGGTTGGCTGTCATCCTACCCGCTGTGGAGAATTTGAGCAGAGTAGCCCTGAACAGTATTTATCTGACTTAAAAAATCTGATTGAAAAAAATAAGACAAAGGTAATAGCAGTTGGAGAATGTGGCTTAGGTAAGTATTCTTTTTGTACTTTCGGGCTTTTTTCTAGACATATATTAAAAAATCCTAAAACACTAAGTGGGTTTTTTGTTCTTTCTATTTGTAGATTTTGATAGATTAGAGTTTTGCCCAAAGGACATCCAGCTGAAGTAAGAAACTTTTGATGACTACCAATTGACTTGTAGCAATTTACAGGAGGTTTTCTATCTTGTGTTCTGCCAGGTGACGTTTTGTCAGGTGTAGACCTGCAATTTGCAGGAATGGGTCTGGGTTTTTTTGGCAGAAATGGCACTTGAAAGAAAAATGGCTACATTCAATTAGTGCTTTGTACTAAATATTGCTACCTGCCTGGTGTAGACTTAGCATGTCTTTTTCTGTAAAATTGATCAGAATTTGGGGGTTTCTGGGTGTGACAGATGCTCATTCTCGCTAATACTCAAGAACTCTTAGAGATTTATGGGGAGAATAACATGACTGTAGTGTGTGAAAGAAGAATTAGGTTGAGTGAAAGGCATGAGGAAGGGAACAACTGTCAAAAAGGGTATGTCAGCAGTGGAAAAAAATGAGCTTATAACAAGGGAGGTGTTAGCTCAGAGCAGCTAATTGAGAGCTGATGATAAAGGTAATCTCGGGAGCTGGAGAGATCTGTGTTTGGAAGTAATATATGCAGCATAGATTCTGAATGGAAAGAAGCTAGCACAGCCTCTAAAAGCAGCTCGCATTCTTGTAGTGAGAACTTCTGTCTACAGAGCGAACTGACTGAAAGATGGAAGTGATAAAGTGAAATAAGCTGAGTGATTAATGAATGGCGCCGGCATATTACTGTTCTGAGTAAACAAGTCACTGGGGGGCAGTGGTTAGTTGTATTTTTTCTAATTGCCAGATGTTAGCAGTAGGTAGAGTTTTCTTCATAAATGCTACAGTAAAATATTCAGCAAAGTGGACAGAACTTTTTTTCCTGGTAGAATTCAGTGTGCACAAAGTTCAGCAAAGCACACTTTGGAGCTTAACCTGTTTCTTTTCTGTGGTAAACTAAAACACTGGTGGAGTATCATATTTTAAGATCCTTACTGCCTTGATGTTATGTGGGGGGTGGGGGGGAGGGACTGGGACATGGGACATGGGACATGACCACACCCAACTGAGTTTCCCTATCTGATGGACTGCAGCTGAAGACCTGTGGTGAAAAACTTCTAATCAAGTGCACTGAGATTGAGTTGTGAGGAAAGAGGTGTCAGGGTGGAACAGAAATCACTTTTAAAGTGGTAGGTGAGTCCTTGCTAATTAAGGTTGATAATGAGATAAAGTCTTTATCTGGGCTATTTCAGTATATCATATGAAATATATAAATCTAGTTTCCATGAGAGATATTGAGAGCCCTTGCTGGAAATTGGAAAGAGGAAGTGGAGGAAAAGGTTATCAGGAATACTCAGCATGGATTCACCAAGGGGAAATCATGCTTGACCAGTCTGATAGCCTGCTATGATGGCATGACCGGCTGGGTAGATGAGAGCAGTGGATGTTGTCTACCTTGACTTCAGCATAACATCCTCCTAGGGAAGCTCAGGAAGTGTGGGCTGGATGAGTGATCAGTGAGGTGGATTGAGAACTGGCTGAGTGGCAGAACTCAGAGGGTTGTCATCAGCGGCACTGAGTCTAGGTGGAGGCCGGTAACTAGTGGTGTCCCTCAGGGGTCAGTGCTGGGCCCAGTGTTGTTCAATTTATTCATCAGTGACCTGGATGAAGTGACAGAGTGCACCCTCAGCAAGTTTGCTGATGACATCAAACTGGGAGGAGTGGTAGATACACCGGAAGGCTGTGCTGCCATTCAGCGTGACCTGGACGGGCCGGAAAGTTGGGCAGAGAGGAACCTGATGAGGTTCAACAAAGGCAAGTGCAGGGTCCTGCACCTGGGGAGGAACAACCCCAGGCATCAGTACAGGCTTGGGGCGGACCTGCTGGAGAGCAGCTCTGTGGAGAGGGACCTGGGTGTCCTGGTGGACGACAGGTTGACCATGAGCCAGCAGTGTGCCCTGGCTGCTAAGAAGGCCAATGGGATCCTGGGGTGCATCAAGAGGAGTGTGGCCAGCAGGTTGAGGGAGGTTCTCCTCCCCCTCTACTCTGCCCTAGTGAGGGTGCCCCTGGAGTACTGCATCCAGCTCTGGGCTCCCCAGTAGAAGAAAGACAAGGAGCTACTGGAGAGAGTCCATCGGAGGGCTACAAAGATGATGGGGGGACTGGAGCATCTAGGACAAGGGGCAATGGGCACAAACTGAAGCACAGGAAGTTCTGAATGTGAACATGAGGAAGAACAACTTCCCTCTGAGGGTGACGGAGCACTGGAACAGGCTGCCCAGGGAGGTTGTGGAGTCTCCTTCTCTGGAGATATTCAAGACCCGCCTGGACAAGGTCCTGTGCAGCCTGCTGTAGGTGACCCTGCTTTGGGGGGGGTGGACACCCACAGAAGTGTTGCGTTATAATGGATGGAGGAATTTGGCAGAAAATATACCCCCTTGTGTTCTAACTCTTCACCGGAGTGAGAGGCTAGGGGCGGCTAGGGTTAAATTCTGAGTGATGTCCAATTTGCCACTACCAGTCCCGTCCCATTTTTTATATGTATAT